GGGGGGGGACAAAAACCCAGCAACCTGCTGATTTACCAAAGTGTAATTCCCTTGTTAAAATAAAAAGAAATAGTTCATAAGCAGCATAGTTTTTAATGTTAGCCTTTTATAAATGTATTGCCAGATTAGTTTGATTTTATTAACCGACATAGGGGTCAAATTTAAGAATATGCAAATGTTTTCTAATATATATATAGTGCTCTACAAAGAGAGTATTTATATCCCATAAACCACTAATAATAGAGGGGTTGAATGACTGTGGAGCCAATAAAGGCTTTTCAATTGATTACTGAGTAAGGTATAAATAATTACCTGTCAATATTTTTTTGTTACAGCGTGAAAAACAAACCCAGACAAACTATTTCTTTCAGAAACGATACCCTTTGTTGCCTTTTCAGATGCCCAATTTGCTAAATGCCAGATTAAAGAAAGGCAGACTGTTTTATCTTTCTTTAGAATCAAGTTGTTTTTTTGTTTTGTTTTTTCAGTTTAGTTCCCGTTTCACAACACATGACCCCAATTCACTTTGTAAGAAAGTCAAGCCAGTTCAATCCAGTCACACATGCACTCTAACTGGTCCTAGTTAACAAAGGGTGCACCAAGTTCAGTTCGTTATTTAAATTGGCTTAAAAAGTTTTCTATTTAAGGATTACATCTCAAATTTTGTTTTTTTTTTAAAAAAAAAAAAAAAAAAAAAAAAAGTAAAGTTGAGAGGATTATGTTATGGTATTGTGAGCTTCAATACAATCCACTTTGTGTTAATTCACAAAGTTTGAGTAAAACGGCGAAACACTTGTTGATGTGTTTTAGTAGTTGTAGATAATTTTGTCCCTGTGGGGTACTTGCATGTGCAGCACAGCTGCAATCGGCTACTTGTTAGCAGCCACCAGACAGCAACAGATCACATAAGGAGCATGTATTTGAAAAGTATGATTATAAATCTAAAATGCCAGTATATCAGCGTAGGTGTTCCTGCAATTTCTACTTTTATTTCTGGAAAATATACCAATTTCATTACTCGCATACAAATACAAAATTAGCTTAAACGGTGATAAAATATGGTTTCATATTCTTGAACTTTTATTCTTTGGTCTAAACGCCTCCTTTAAAATGGACCGCATCATAAACTCACATTTCTAAATCCAAATGTTAGTCGATGAATTTAATTTATCTTCCATCAGAAGATGTACCTGATGGTAAATCCAGGTGGTGCACTTCAGGCGAGCTATTCATCACCCATTAATCATGGCTCTTTGCCTTCACATGCAACGTCTCTTCCCTGTCTGCAGACAGCAGAAAAAAATATGTGTGTGAAGTTTTGCGTTGAGCAAGTATTGACGATTCCTTTTGTACTGATGCAACTGGATCACTTTCTCTTCCACAGAATAACTAAATTAATGTATTATTTTACAGCAAATGTGACTTCTATAAACTCGTGGGTGTTACTCTAAGGTTGTAACTTATTCTATTTATAAAATGATCAGGGTCAGCTGGCCCGCCGGTTAAATTCTGATAGGCTGTGACATGTTTCCTCAACTAACAGGAAACAATCAGTCAGTCTTGACTGAGTACTTATTGGCAGTATTGATGCCCTGATAAATGACTCATTAGTACTATCATTTGCAAACTGACACCTTGCAGCCAGTACATTAGTAGCTAATGAATTAAATTTTAAGCACATGTACATGTGAGCTTACACTTCGCAAGGTTCTCGGGGGGATTGGGGAGGAGCCACACATAGTTGACCAAGAAGATTTTTATTTCTATCATGAGAATTGTTATTGAAATTGTTAGCATTACTATTTATAGCAAGGGAGGGGGATAGAGAGAGAGTCTATGGTTAATGTTTTTTGTCAGAAATCCTCAGAAATCTGTCAAACTATTGAATATAGATAGAGAAGTTCAGTTTTGACTTAATGCTAAATGCTTGTTTTCCAAGGTTAATGCTTTTTTCGTGCTCTGATGGTTTCATTTTGTAGGCAGAATAAGAAGCTGTGTGGAAAAAAAAATATTTTTTTGAAATTCTACAAAGCTTAAAATTCCAACCTGGGAGTTCAACCTTGATTCAAGGTATATTTGGAGAGGGATTTATTATCAGATCCTAGACTCAATACTGTAATTTATAATTGCTGAGTCAAATTTTAGAAAGTTTTTTTTTCCTGTATCAATTTCTGCTCTTGTCCTTGAATATCCCTTTCAGGAAGGATGTGTCATATTTCCGAACACCTATAGCCTCTGCATTCAATCTGTTCACTTAATTTAATAGGTGACGGGTTACAAAGTCGAATCAAGGGGGAAATAAGAAACTAAGTTCAGGTATTTAAAATACTTATACAGCTTACATTAATTGCAATTTCGATTATTATGTTTTACAGGTAATGAAAGCCCAGCATCTCAGAACATCTGAATATTACATAAGATCAATAAAAAAAGGATATTTGAAGAAGAAATGTGACATTTCTGAAAACTATGTTCATCCGTCTGCATTCAATAACAAGAAATATTCAACTCTTTCACAATATTTACATTTTTTGATCCGTACTTGTGAATAACATCACTGTAAACTAGCGAAGAACATGAAGGTGTCAGCTGCCGTTATGTTTATGTTATGAATGAAATACTCGACTTGATTTTGAATGAAAAATATCAGCATCAGCTGAGTACACCGAGTCAATTAATGCTCCTGTTTTTTCGCTGGTTCTATAAGGATATTAAGAGGAGTTTTGGATTTAAAAATTGGTAGGATCATGTTTGTTGTAGGGAAAATATGTGTGCTACTTTTAAGATATTAGACATATATTTGAAGTAAGGTCAATTTAGAAAAGTAATTTCTTTTTACATTCATTCAAGACTTTATCCTCACTAGAAAGACAAGAAAGAGAGATTATTTATTTTTTAGTCGAGGAGGCTTCAGTTCAGGCATATAATTTAATAACTGGAGATCAGTGGTGTCAGAAGCATCTCTTTAATGCCCCCTAGTGGCTCTATATGTAACTAGCTTAAATACCGTCATTATTCTTCAGAAAATTACGTTCACATTATTTACTCATAGATAAATTCATAAATTATTTAAAAATCGTGAGGTCAGAGTAAATAAAATTAATAAAATAAAATAAAACGTTGCTGCAGAGGGTAAAATCAAAATACCCACTTAAGAAGCTTGCTGTTAAATCACAGTGTAGTTTAACTTAAATGCGTATCAGTATCTGTTCTTTTGTCCAGAAAGGCTCACTAAAGCTTTAATAATTATAATAATAATAGAGATAAAGCTATTAAATTTAAAACATCTACATGTAACTGTTGACATCCCTATCATATTGGTATTTATGTATTTATTTATTTTGATTTTCAGACCTACATGTTTCTTTTATCGATTTTTCAAAGCTGTATTATAGGATTTGCATCTCGACGCGCAACTAGTCATGTCTGGGATGTTTACAATCTGCCGACCTAAACATGGCTGGTCAAAAACTCACTCATTACAGTTAGAGCTCAAAAACTTAGAAGAACAGTTTTTACTTTACTCATACTCGTTTAAAGGCTGTCAAGAGGCTTCTAGTGATATAACTTCATTTTCCATTTGCCGTTTGTTTTTGTTTTTTAATCAGTCTCTCTGTGAGTGTTGAGGTTGAAGCTTGCTAGCTGGATATCTTCTCCATAGAGAACGATGAGTTATGCAGCTAGCAATAGTTACCTTGCTGCTAAAGGACTGGACATAAGTCTGTCTGCCCTGCAGAGACAAGACCCTTACATAAACAACATTGTGGACGTGGCCAGCCAAGTCGCCCTGTATACTTATAATAACCGAGCGAATGAGTGGGTAAGCTTTGAAAAAAATGTGCTAAATGCTATCTTAGCTTAGCCTAGCCTATTTTAGCTTCTCTCTGGTAGACGCGCGTTTAAACTGGCTTACAGGTTTACTATTATTGAACATACATAAGGAGTTTTTTTTTTAATAGACAGTTTAAAATGTTTTAAATATTTAATGAAACTTTTAATGTTTTTTCTGTTTTTATTTATTTTTGTTCTCAACACTTTATTGTTTTTCAGGAGAAGACAGAAGTGGAGGGCACTTTATTTATTTACACAAGGTAAAAAGCTTCTTAGAAATGTTTAAGGAGTAGTCTGTTTTTATCCACTAATTTGTTCCTGTCTTGTCAAGTCATTTCCACAAACCTGCATTATTGTCAGTATTCCATAAAGGCAAGGATAACAGAATGCAAAACAAGTAAAATAATTTTTTTTATGACATTGCTGTTTATTAATGAGTTTTCTATAGAAAAAAATCTCTCAGGCCTTAAAGTAACAAATTACACAAAGTTGGTTTCTGTTTAAAAGGTAACATTTGAAGAAAATTAATTGCTCTGGATTTTATGTAGATTTACTAGAGTAAAACATAAAAAGTGGCTCGTTTAGCCATATTCATCAATAATTTTTATTGATCTTTTTTGTGCTGTGTTCTTCTCTTATTTCAGATTGGCATCTCCTAGGCATGGCTTCACAATAATGAACCGTCTTAATATGGAGAATCTGACAGAGCCCATCACAAAAGACTTGGACTTCCAGCTGCAGGACCCTTTCCTTCTTTACCGTAATGCACGATGTAAGCAACATGCAGCAGTACACATGATTTCAAGTAATTTACAATTTTACAATTCCTGAAAACTGTATGTAATCTGTGCTGGTATTATGATGATCACTGTGATTTGATATATAGTGTAGCTTTAAATACACACATACACATAGTTCACCTGTTAGCCATTGATATTGTCTGTCTTTTCCTCAGTGCTTTCCTGCTATTGCATGCACATCAATTGGGAGCTGGGTTATAATAAAACAAGCTAAGTTGCTCTAATGAGTATGTATACCAGTATTAGTTATAAGTAGAGGAAATAAGGGGAGGTATTCTATATTGTGTTTAAACCTTACAGAAAAAACAAATGCGATCAACTTCAACTGCTCAGAAGGATTTAATTATTTTTTAGTTTAACACCTGTAACATTTTTGGGATTAAATCATCTGTTCGGCATTGATTTTTAGCGTGCAGTGGTACCACTACTTTAGATGTGTGAAATACCTTACAATTATATATCTTCTATTGCTTTGGCATTACGTCACGTTTAGTAATTTAGAAAAATACAACCTATTTGAGCACGTGTTTGCTGTGGTAATTTTGAAATGGAATCATCAGGACCCCAACTATTCTTACTTGGTTGTTAAAACTTTCATCAAATCACTTATTTTCAATAAGGCAGCCTTTAGTCCTTTAACATATGTCATAGTTGAAGCATACATAACTTTTCACACCTAATCTCATCTGACTGAAGCACACACAGTTCCAGTTATAGTCCTAGATTTGTGATGGTAGGACAGAAACAGTTTTTACTAGCACCAATCCCAAAGAAACTTGGTGATTTAAAAATGACGCTTTTGCTGCTGCTCTTTAAAAGTGATATTTTGTTGATCTTCCTTCAGCATCCAACTCACTGTGCATCGTAGCAGCTTTGAATGGGGGTTCATTCGGCCAAGTGGCTAACAAAAAACAGTTACAGTTATACAATGATGACACAAGAAGCCATAGATTACTTATAAAATAATTATTTCTAGATGCAGGGTCCCCCCCACTTAGTAAACATACTCAAATTAGAATGAGCATTTTTCTAGGTTTTTCTACTTGGATTATCTAGTGTGATTTGCACATATCTTTACCAGGAGTGCTAAAAAATGTGGTTGGTAGTCTGTGCAGACCTTGGTAATTACTCGACTCCTTGGCTGTCTGTAATAGATGTAGACTCCTCTTACAAAGTTAGATGCAGTGCGTCTCAGAAGCCAAGTTAGGTCATAATACCGATGGTGTGATCATGTCCCTACAAAAAGCAGGACAGATTTGTGCAATGGTTTGGAAGTCTGATAACAAATAATGAAAGGGGAGAAAGTAGATCATCTGAGTGGGAACTAGTAGCTCCATTTAAGGAACTAAGTAGAGACATTTTAGTCAATTTTATCAGCCCAAGTCTCTCTGAGACCTACATACGACCCTCGCTCACACAATCACATTGCTAAGTGTGCCTGTGGGACAAGAGTCTGACAGCACTACAAAAACAGCCAGCAGAGATTAGATACACCTCAACCGCCTCTGATAATCTAAACACAGTGACGCAGAAGTTGCTGACACACACACATCCACTCCCCCTGCCTCCAACTCTCCTTGAGGCTTCCTAGGAAGCAGATGGAAGTGGATTCCTTACGCCTGCTTTGATCGTTCTGCTTCTCGACATAGATTTTTGTGCTTGCTCACAGTAATAATAAATAACCAGAAGGCTGCGGGAAAGACTGTGTATGACATAAAGTTTACTAAGTGACCTTTTGCACTTCCTTTGATGGTTTGAAGTGCAAATTAAAGTATGTAATAGTTCAGTAATGGAGAATGAATTTAAAATGTGAGGCTGACTCACTTGTCGTGGGAAGAAGGAAGAAATTAAAAGTACTTTCAACAAGTAATCACGACAAAGCTGATGATTGTTTCCTCTGCTAAAATTGGAGTTATGCGAGTCAAAGAGGGTGTGTATTGCAAACATAATGGTCAAACCTAATGGTAGCCTTAATTTACTTTGATTATAAAGCACCAAAAGGAGGAGATATAAATAATTGTTGTAATCAGACGGAATTTTATCTCTATAGCTGCTGCGATTTAAAAGATTGTCAACTATCCAGATAAAAAATATAAAAGTACAAAGTTTTTGCACATTAGCCAAGTAATAATGCCTCAAGCGCTTTAAGATGCCTTCTAAACCAACATTTCTGAGTTATATTAAAGAAAAAAAACAAAAAAAAACTCTTGTGTGGTGTTTTGGGTCATTAGGTTGCTGAAGAGTTGTTTTCACTGGCCAACATTCGATTCATAAGCTGCTGGCAAAACTGACCGTCCCAGTGCATCGTGACCTCTGGTGGAGGGGTCGTGGAATCTTATCATTAGACAAACATGAAGCCCTCTGAGCGGCTGTAACTTCCTGGAATGGCGGTTGGCACAAAGTGGCATCGCAGGCTAAAAATAAGCAGCAGAGATATACCGCAGAATGGGCTAAGATTCAAGCAAGAGCCATTTAGTGTGAGCAAAACGTTATTTCCCCGTCCTCAAGAGGAAGAGGCTTTTAATGTTCCCCACTATAGAAGGACTTCTTCTACTTCACAGCCCTGCTACAACTATGCATTATTTCCCAGCTTTCAACATTTTTTTGTTGGTGGTTTTTTTTTTTCTTTTGTTTCTTTTTTACAAATACAAATCAAAAATGTGTGTCCAGTTAAATCAGGAGAACATTAAGAAGTCTAATATTAGTGTCCTTGAAGGAGCTACAAAGTTGCACTGCTCCAATGGAAAACAAAGTAACTTATATTTGTGCTCTTTACGTATATGAAGGTATATGACCTTTGTGGAACAGCAGTAAGAACAAAGCAATTGCTTGAAGAAAGCCATGAACCCTCCAGTTTTCCTTTAGCCATTTAGCAAACATGTACAAGACGATGCTCTGGTCAGATGGACTAGAAGATGAACAGCTTGATTTAAATGTGTGGCAAAAACACCAGGTGGGCACACCACGTCCACAGTGAAACATGGTAGTTGCAGTGTCATGCTATGGGGATGCTTATGCTTAAATTGAAGCTGGTCAAATTAATGGGCAGTCCTGGAAAAGAAAGAAAATGTAAAAGAATTGAGACTTGACTGGAGGTTTGATGTTTTCAGGGCAATGGTTTGAATGGCCTAGTCAAAGACCAGACATCTGTCGATTTGAGATTCTGTGACTAAATTTGAAGGTTGGGCTTCACAGATCCTCCCCTCCCTGTCTGACCAAGCTTGAGCTCCCGGTAATAATTTGACCCACTAGAAATGTGTGAACAGGACACAGAATTTAATTGTTTATCATCATAAACAAACTTGACATATCTTTTCTGAATAAGGTAAAGAGTTTGTGTATTGACACAGCAGCACTAATGTGCATAAAAACCAAGAAGCTCGGGCTTCATCTCCTTCAAAGCACGTGTGTGGGTAGTCTTACCTCCAGGTCTGACGTACTTGTATCCCAAATCTCTCTCGGACACCAGCGATCCCTTAAATCGGACCTCGGGTTCCTCCTCCAGTCTCTCATGTTTTAGTTTCCTCTGAAACAGGCCCCTGAGCATGGTCCCAGAGCAGTCGAGCCGTTTTAAATTTCTTCAACAGTTGATTTTAATCTGTCCTTTTTCTCGCAAAAAAATATCCAGAAAAATTGCCAAAGATAATTTGACACTACTAATTACTGGTCTCTTTAGGCCCAATCTTCAGTTGCAAATGTAGGTAGAGATGTTTGCAGCAGTTTTTCCTTCACTGTACATTTTATTTAACTTTTAAGTTTTAGTATGTACTCCCCTAAGAATCTAACCAAAACCAGCTATGGGTCTTCTACTACAACAATAACTCCAAAGAATGTGTGTCTTACTTTAAGAGCCTTGCCAGTAGGAACGTACACACAGTTTGAATAGTCTGTTACTGTGAGCTATCCTTGCACATCTGGTCTCATTCTGACGTAAAAGTCAATCCAAACTGTCTTGAACAACACATCCTCCAACATGGCCAACAAAGCTTTCTAAAACAGACAGAAAGTCTTCATAAAGATTCCATTTCCAGCAGTAAATGGTTAAGAAGCGAATGCAGAGCAGTCATCACGTGCTCTCTGTCTCGGCTGGATTGTCCCGGTCCCTGAGGGTTTCAGATGCGGGTCACTCGCGGACCTCACCGGACGGTTGTTGGTTGAACTTTCTGGCATCCAGGTTGAAACGCCGACAATCTGGGAGGTTTCACTCCTGCCTTCAGCTGTTCTGAACAGAAGGTGTCCTGCTGAAGGTTTCCTCCCACATGGTCACTTAGCTGTCTTCCCAGTTGTAGTGGTACTGTTCTTGGCTTGGGTCTTGCATGTCTGACTCCCCTCCGCCTCTTCCCTCCAATGTCCTGGGACCGGACTTAGAGCCTCCCTTCTATTTCTCCAACGTAAAGTTTTTATTGGTCTTCCTCCTGCCTTTCTTCTGGCAGTCTTCCCTCTTCACTGATAAAACAGACACTTTCTACAAATCAGGGGTCGGGATATCCCACACATTATTGGTAAGACATCTAAATAAGCTTTTACGTTTTTCCTTTGTATCCTTATGCTCTTTACTTTGGTCCTCTTGTCTGTGCGGCTGCGTTCCTACTGGTCAAAGAGACGTCAGAGATTCTTACCCAGCTGTCTTTCTGTCACCTTCAGCTCTGCTTTTTCATTTTTTTTTTTTTTTTTGCATCATTAGCGAAACTCCGTCTGTTCAATGTTACCTGACAGCCAGAGCGCTCCGAGAACTACGTGTTCCTATTTTTATTGAGTTGATTACCTCCCTCAAAAACACCTCACTCCTTCCTATCAGTCCTGCTCATTTTTCCTCAATTTTCCAGCTGTCTGACTTCGACTCTGTGTGTGTCCCGGGGTCAAGCTGTCTCATCCCCAGTGAGCACTAAGTGGCTCTGGCTCCACCAGTCAAGTCTCCCACTGCAGTTACTTATTTGGAACAGGGCTAATTTTTTCCCAGGCTCTACTTAACTGTATATGTCTCTGCCAGCCCCTTCTCTGTCTGTCCCTACATCCACGCTGACCTCTCGGGTCTGTGTGCCGGATTGGGAATACATGTTCTCTGTGTGGTATTGATAGCCACCACATAGATACTTCAGTTGTTTTTCTGTCTTTACACAAGGAGTGTATCTGTATTTTTTTGTTTTGTTATGCGATAGTACTCTGTTTAAACCAGACGGTATTTTGTTTCCTTTTTTGCGTCTTATTGGCTTATAACGGCATGAAAAAAATAAGCATTTATTTAATACACACTTACAGTATATTACAGATTAAAGTGGTAACAGACAGACAGATAATAAGCTAACATTTCTTGTAGTATAATGCCAGGATAATGAAACTGAATGTGAACAAATCATACTCTTATTTTAGTCAGATTAATCCAGTAAATTTGTTGCATTTTTATTGTAACCAGTAAACATGCAAAACAAGTTCAACAAACTAGTGTGAAGACAAAATCATCGCCTTACAAGCTATCGTTACCAACATAAACTTTAATGCGTTTGAGTTATACGTGATGGATAAAGATTACTATAAAGCTAAAGAAAACTTATTTTACATTTCTGCAAATTAAAATATTAGTCAGCCCTTTGCTGTTCAGACTTTGTAGCAGCACCTTTTGCTCAAGTTACAAGTGCTAGTACTTTGAGTTACACCTCAACCAGGTTTGGATGTTTAGGAACAGAATTTTGTGGCCCATTCATGATGAAAGCATTCCCACATCATGATGGTGCCACCACCGTGTTTCATGGGGATGATATACTCGGGGTGAAAAATGTTAGTTTTCTGCTAGTTGGCAAACTTGTCAAAATGTTCATTTACGCAAGCATGCGTTCTCATTACCTAATTTTTGACAATGGCTCTCTTTTGATACTTGTTCATAAAAGCCAGACTTGTAAATTGAGCAATTAATGGTTCTCTCAAAGAAATTATTCTGTGTGAGTTGTGGATCTCTGCTTCTCCTTCAGAGTCACGATGGGCCTCTTGGCTGCTACTCCGATTAATCCTTTTCTTGCTCACTTCAGAATGTAATAAAAAAAACACCATAGAAACCTAAACTGTTCAGTCTGAAAAGGTTAGGGGCTTTAAAACTTTAAAATGCGGCTTTTTGGGACATTGCATTACTAATTTTTAAAGCTTTAAATTAATAGTAAGACTGGATATTCACATTCTGACTCTGATATTTCACTAGATATGTTGAGATATGAAATGTTTTGCACCTTCTCCTGCTATTCTGATGCATTTTCGAGAAAATGCCACACATAAAAACAGTTAAATCATTTGTAGTTAAATATAGGAACTTGATTAATAAAACATATTTATCTTGCTGCCACGCAACCTTCTAAAGAACCATGTTGGAATCGTTTCCCTCTTGGCCTCGCTATGTTTATACAGTTCAAGAGACTCCTGGGGCCCGTGTTTCACTGTATAATGGTGCTGCCTGCCTCTGTTCCCATTGGCTTGGCTGGGAAATGACTCATTTTAAAGCCTCGGCTGTGTGGGTTCTGATGTCATAGTAGAAAATTGGAGCTATTTTATGTCTGTGTATTTATTTGATTTTAAGGTTATGAGTAGGTCAGCTTGCTCATTTTGTTGTCTGCTGACCTTACCAATGAGCTCATCCCAGAACTGTAGAGTCGTATTTATAAAAATTGATTTTTCTGCTCATTGTCTGAATCATTATTGCGATGTAAAGCATCTTGTTCGATTTTTTAAAAATACTTTTTTATAGTATTATTATTATTATTATTATTATTATTATTACTGTAAATGTGTTTGTTCAGCTGATTAAACCTTATCTTTTTTTTTTTTTTTTACTCAGTGGTTATTCACGGGATCTGGTTCTACGATAAGCAGGACTGTCAGCGAATTGCACAAAGGATGAGGATGTAAGTATAAATTTAATAGATGGCAGTTTCACATAAAATATGAAACTAAAATCTCTCAAGTTTTGTCTGTAAACACACAAAATAACAGCATTTACTTTAACATATTTGGAGTTATTTATTTATTTTTATTAAAAAGGTTAAGGGTTAAAGATGTATAAAGATGTATTCTTTGAGTCATAAATGGAAAAAAGTTTCATAACTCCTGAATTTTCTGTTGGATTTGAAACTACTGCCACATCAAAGAACTTTCAACTTATTTTTAACTGCTATAGTTATTTCTTTCTTGGAGATCCTTATAATCTTTGGAGATTTGTTTTTATTTCCCTTAGCTTCCTCCTCACAGTGGGTGGCTTCAAGTCAAACTTGGACCCTCTCTCTTTTTCTGTCACAGTTCCAGCTGTTTTAACTTTTTAATTAATCTAATCTTATAGTTAATTGAATAAAGTAACTATTATGTTTACAGGAATTCTTAGTACTATCAACAAGTATGATACTAGAGTTGTTGCTATTTTTCTTAATTTGTTTAAAATTTTAGTTTTGCATTGGATTTATTTTCCCATTGCATAAATGTTCTCCAAGTAAAGTTTGATTTTCTTTCAAGTATGAACATTTTAGAAGTCTTCTGCATTTATTTCTTGCTAAAACATATCCAGGTTGCATGTTTAAAAAAAAAGAAGAAAGAAATGTGGAGAAACATTTAGCCTAATTAGGTTTTCTAACTTTTAAATCTTTCCTTTAATTAATGGCCTGAAACTGATGCGGGGAATCTGCACTTTGTCCAGTTTGACCCAGCAGGAGCAGATCCTCGCTCAGTCTCAGGGTGGTTCCATATCCCCTAGAGCAGCAGCAGGAGGTGGAGGTGGAGGTGGCTTAGCCGGAGGAAATAATGAGGCGAAAGCGGTCGACATCATCCAGATGTTGACCAAGGCACGAACAGAGTATGATAAGGTAGCGGAACCCAGATGTTTCTTTAAGGTTTACATCATCTGTAAGGGTTCTACTGGATTCTTTTGTGTGTTTTTAACACTGTTGTCTTACTGACAGTCTGCCTCAGAGCCAAAGGAGATTGGGGGCAGCAGTGTACTGTGTGGAAATCCTAATCTGATCAAACCAATACCAGTTAAACCAAACACTCAGGTAACATACATGTAATGTGAATGTGTGTTTTCAGGCTGGAAAATATCACATTTCTCCATAATGTTTCTACCCATGTTAATTTTGTCCCTTCCAGGTCAATGAAGGAGCAGACACCACCACGGTTGTGGCCTTAACCACCCTGTTAGGCTGCCAGCATCAGCACCACCACCCTCTTAAATCTGACCCGGTTCCTCCTCTGGCTGCTTCCACGGCAGCAGGAAAGGCCGCCCGCCCACCCGTCGCCCGCACGCTGACCTACGAGGATTCACTCAACTCTGGCAGAAACGTCTCCCCCTCCAGAGGTGGAGACACAGCATTCGGGCCGGCGGATAGGGAAGAGAGCGGGAGCCAACTGCCGAACCAACTTCAGCACTGTCCGGCCATCGCAAAGCTCATGCAGGGACAGAGGGGGGCGGCAGGAACTGGGGGCGTGCTTCAGACACTGTCCGAGTCCCCAGAGAACCGGCTGTGTGACAACGGGGTGCCGCTGGAACACCACCACCACCACCACCATCATCAGCACCCCCACCTCCTCCATCACCACCACCAGCAGCAGCAGCAGCAGCAGCACGACCCAATAAAGCGGCTCCTGCAAAACCATCCACCCCCTCTGCTCGCCACTTCTTTCACTGCCACGGCTCCTCCAGCGCTGCAGAAGAACCAGTATCCCACCTCCCAGCCTGGCCAGCTGGATTCTGTGTCACGTTCCCACCTCGAAGCACAACAAGGTCAGCAGCTCCTCCTCGGCCTGACCAAGTTACAGGCAGAGATGCAGAAGAGAGGGCCGACGGATTCTGCTGCCATGGGAACAGGTGCGAAATCTATTTGACTGCGATTCACCAAAAGACAAACCAGAAAAACGGACATCCAGCAGTTTTCATCGAAAAAAGAATTATTGATTTTAAAAAAGTAGCTAGTAATCTATAGCTAATCTAGCTTAAAACCTATTTACAGATATAAGTGTTTTTATCTTAAATGCAAGATGTGTATAAATTATGTGCAGTTTGGGCATAATTATACCTCAACCAGTTTTGTGCTCTGAATATGTTCTTTATCAGAAAATTTAGGTTTTTTTGAGTGAATACGCCAGTTAATGATAAACCAATTATTAAATTAGTTGGTGATTTAGTGCGATAAATCTTTTTAATCGTTTCAGTCGTAATTTCTATCAACTCCTGGTCAGATTTAGATTTAAAAAAGATATTTTTCCAACAATTCACTTCATATTATGTGACTTCTGAATATGTCTGTCTTTCAGCATGAATCTTAGCATGTATTCAACTTTATGCTTGCTTTAGCCAGCGTTTGCTGTTGCCAAGTAATGATGCCCTGTGGTCGTTCGCCAGGTCTGACCTCCCAGATGCAGGGTGTTGTTTCTCCTCATGAGCTCCTGCAGAAACTCCAGCTGGTCCAGCAAGAACAGAGCTCGACTTCCCACGAGCATCCCCGACTCCATCCGCATCCAGGACTGGCACCTCGGTTCCTGTGGCCCAGTGCGAGTCAAAGCCAAGGCTCCTCTTTAGGCACAGGCCCGACCCCGACCACAGTTGCCCCAGATCAAAAATCTGAGCTGCAGTTTCAGGTAAAAAAAAACAACAACAAACAGTTCAGTTAGAAGCTGAATACAGGTCTTCTTTAACTATTTTCTGACGATACATTTGCAAAGCTGTGATTGCAGCAAAGGGCGATTCTGCAAAGAATTTACTCAGAGATTCTGAATACAAATGAATGCCAAATATTTAATTGTGATAAAATGTTATTTTCTTCCATGTTCATCACATAAAAAAAATCAACATAATAAGTTAATAATATTTTTGTTTTGGGGACATGACAAACTTCATAAAAGTGCAAGAGGTAGAAATACTTTTAGAAGTTCCTCTTCATATTTTCCACGGCTTGACTCTAATGTGTTACCGGCTGTCATTGCATGCGAGTTTATGTCCTCGGTTGGTAAATCGTTCATGGTGATCTACGGCTTTCAGCCTGGATGTGCACACCGATTTCCACTTTATTCCCTATCCCTGTCTGTGCAGATCATTTCCCCACAGCGGATACCTGCCACAGTGGCCCCCACCCTGCTCCTCTCTCCCAGTGTGTTCACTCAGACAAAGTCCAGCAGCAGGCTACCGGTGGCTGCTCCAGAAAGCAACTCTGTACCCTCAACCTTATGCAAACCCTCACTGCAGGAGGAGGTCGGAGCTCTTTCTAGAAGCCAGCTTCAAGAAGCACTGCTACATCTGATTCAGGTAAAACCATTAAAACACACCTGACACTTTGCATTCCAATCGTCGTATTTTAACTCTTTCAACGATGTAAATGCAGCGCGTACACGCCGTGGTAATAAACACGCATGCTTAAAAACAGCTTTCTGTGCTAAGTTTACTTGCTTACTGTGTTTCAGACTGACAGCTCATTCCTGGACTCCATCTACAAAGCATACGTCAGCCGCTTCGCTAACGGCTCCGGCAGCAAGTACTGATGACTCTTTACACCCGCTGTCTGCCTGCACACACTTCCTGTTCAAGGGCTGAATCTGATATTCAGTGAACCACTTCCTCCAAATCTCACTTATTGTATTTAATCTCAGCAATCCAACTCACTTAGACCAATCTTTTAAAAGATAAATACAGGTATAGAAATGCAAAATATGTTTGCTTTTAGCAGTGAAATCCACTTTTTTAACTCTAAATTACAAATGTTAGCTACATTATATTGACAATAATAACACACTGCTCCTTAACGGCTTTTAAAAGATGATAACTATAAATGATATTCTCCACAATTTATTCAGGTTTTGCATAACAATACAACGCTCTTTTAGCAAATGTCATTATCGACCAACAGGCTTGAAACGTGGACTTTGATTTGGTTTTCTTTATAGAATCCAATTGCAGCAAATATGTCAACTAACGTTATAAAAAAAAATTTGATTAAATTCGGCATGTGACATTTCAACGGTTGTTTTTTGTACGTTTTTTTCCCAATTGAGTTCAGGCTTGTAGCTCACAACCGTTCCTTTCAAATGCTTGGAACTGAAAAATAATTATAAAAATGTGAAAGAAATAATAAGCCCAGAATGCAGCAAAATATTGTCCTTGGATTGCTAAACCTGGACAAGGACTAAAAATCCATCTACAGCATCTACCCAAGAAAAAAGTGTTGGCAACAAAGTCTCCTTGTTTGCATTATTGAGCTATGCAGTGGCCGTAAAAGACTCACTTGTGCAAATCTGTGTTTTGGGGATTTAAACTGAATAACGGTAATCAAACCTCAAATATTAGTTTAAGGTCACGGCCTGTTATTCAAGCCCTATATGTACATCTGCAGTTTTTTCCTACAACAACATGGAATTTGGCTTTAAAAAGTCACTTCAAGTTAAGGTTATTCATTTGGAGGTAAACAGGAAGTTTAAATTGACACAATCAGTCATTTTTCTTGGACACAGAGAAAAGAAAATGGTTTTAAAAAAAAGCTAATTAAACATGGAGGACAGTTGTTTGAATAGTGCTCATTACTGAAATTCAATATGTGGATGTTCACGGCTCTTTATGACAACAGTAGTTCTGTCTTTGTCCTAAACATCCTATTTTTTATGAGGGGGGAAAAATTATGATCTTACTGCAGCTTGAATAAACTCACAAGCTTCATAGAAGTCACAACCTGCACTACCTCACAGTTTGGAGCTACAATTAGATTTTTATCAAATAGCAGCTTTAAGGGTAATAATAACAACAACAAAAAAACTTTATGTTGAACCTTTCAAGATGAGAATCACAAAGTACTTCACGACAAGAAAAAAAAAATGCAAACATGAAAAACGGGAGCAGATAGAAAAATAAAATTTTAGTTTTTAAACATTTACTCATAACAGCAATGTTTTAGCATGCTGAAATGCTCAGGTTGTTGCCACATAGTGAGCTGCATAAAACGGGCAACAAAAAATATGACTATGTCAATATAAGATTTGCACAGTTTAACATTTTCTTCACTTCTTACTTGTGCAGTTTGATTGAAATGATCTGTATTGTCTCAGTAAAACCTCACTTAAATGAGAGAAATGATTTAAAACGCAACAGGGAAAGTTTAAGCATGCCCTGTCCGTCCACTTTCTGCTTGGTTATACTTGGTTAGAAATTCTTACCTTGGCAAGGATCGGTGTGCGTTTAGCTTTTGCTGTAACGTTGTACACAGCTGGTCTATATTGTAGCAGTCAGACAAAAACAGCAGATGTTTTTATTAAAATAAGACATTATTTTTGTATTCCAGAAGGACAACATGTAGCTTTCACCACACCAGGAAAAGGAATGCTGCATTTAATTTCAAAGATCTGTTTATATTTTAATTGAAAGATTGTTTTTTTTATTTAAAGAAATAGATAAGAATTGTTTCTACTTGTTTTTTTTCTTTTCTAAAAGATATTTTGTTAATTGACTAATAAATGTTCTACCCCATGCTCCCTGTGTTTTTCTTTTGTCTGTTTGGCTCATTGCTTTTCTGATTATTTCTGTTGAAAATGGTTAACAGTAATCGCTAAAAATATATTCTTATCATTGCTTAAATGTTACTTTATTGCCTTATTTTAAAGAAATCGATGGTGCAGTGTAACGCCCACAGTGACTAATCAGGAGCTTTTCCATTCTGCCAGCAGAATGGAAAGACCTTGGTAATTAACTGCAACAAAGTCAATGTTTTTCTTTTACTTTTTTTTTTTTCCCCCGTGTTTCTACTTTGGTTAACAAGCCAAGCATAAGAGAGTTGCTGGTAAAACAGTTGGAATCCAACCTCATGGGAGATTTAATAATATCCACTAAACTGTAACTATAAGACATAAACAAAAAGCATCTTTTAGAGAAATTCCACAACAAATTCCAACTTGTGTATCCAGTTCTTGCTTTTAAAATTTGCTGTGTGCCGTTTCATCATCCCGCCCTGAAAAAAAAAAATGGTCCAGTTGGTCAATTAAGTCCTAAAATGTGATTACCATTCATGCCAATAATCGGTGTGTTTAAACATATTAATGACTCTACAGTTGTCCTTTATAATTCTCGTGAAAGTCTTTGTTTTGCATGTTGTTTGCAGGAATTGTTTGTGTCTTCAGTGCTGCTAATGGCCCTATTGTTGGTGAAAACCCAAACAAAAGTAAGCAACATGTGAAATGATCAGAGGCTGACTGTTCCCCATTCTGCTTGAAGGTTTCGTCAGCCTCTCCCTTTTGGTCCTTTCCTTCCTGCTTCCTTTCCCCAGTCGACATCAGCATGAGGATTTACAGTTACAGATTCTCTAATGTAAAACTTCTATTTTTGAGCAAATCGAACCCGTTTCAGTTCACATGCATCAAGAAATGATGGAAACCTACATCTGTCAAATTCTACATGTAAATCTTGTTTTTTGAGGAGTTGCGCGCAATTATTTTCCCTAAGAAGACGAGGATTTCAGATCGCTGGTTTAGCTGATGGCGCTAAACGTAAAGGCTGACTATTAGCTCTGGCCTAGACTAATCAATGACTTCTGGTGTACACTATGTGTGTGTTTGTTTAGTCCAAAGAGGCAGGCTCACCACTGTCCTTACTCCTGAACTCTCAGACGGAAAGGCTTTCTGCAGGCGACGTCAGCCGACATCTGATGGGTCCCGCAGGCTCAGTGTTGTACATAGAACTTTGAACTGTTGAGATCTATTTTTTTTATTATTCTTAGATCATTCTCAAACGGTGGAGCTGCTCAGAACGGACACAAGTTGGAATAACAGTTCAGCTCTGCAGTGATAGAGGTGAGTAATACTTTTGTTTTTTTGTCCTCCTGTATAATTACATAGACCTCTTCATTTAAAAAAAAAAAATCGGCTGTTAAATACATGTTTATTCTAATATTGGATGCATGGCAAATTGGCAAGTAAGACCTAGATGTGATCAAACCTAAAATAGAGAGATAGACAAAACAAATGGTAAATTGAAGGCTATAAAAAAGAAAGCGTCACATTTTATCTAAGTGAACTTAGAAGACCTTGATTCACATAGACTATTTGATTATTTACCAAAAAAAAAATAAATAAAAAAATACCATACTACATAGTTGCTATAGATATTAAATACTGTCTTAGTTTTCTGCGTTTGTGATCTTGGTTTGACTGTATTTGTTGTTAAATGAACAGATCTGCTTGTGTAATTCAAGTCTGCTTGCTGAATCTGTGCATGTTATCCACATTTATTGGTCTTTGCTTGCTCGAGTGCATTGTGGGTGTGCTTAAGTTAAAAAAAAAGAAGAAAAATACAACGATCATTGTATCTTAAGCATTTGGTTTCTGTGGTTTACTTGCGCACATCAAAATGCTTGAGCTGTTCTGCAGGTGAAATGGGAAGGTTTAAGTTTTATTTGTTGAGGTTCGACTTTGTAGAAGTGATCAAATGTAAAGCTTTCTGTGAAGTGAAAATGACAGAAGATTTAGCAAACAATTCTGAAAAAATAACGAGGCAGAAATGTGAAAAATATTTTTCTTGTATAAAAATATAAAATCACATATGTTCACTAACTGCTATGAAAAAAAAATTATAATGCACATTGTGCTTGTTTTTTCTCTTTAAATGCATTTGAAAATGAACAAAATGAGCACTGTATTTTAACCTTAGTATAAAGGTTTAAATACGCTAAACTAAAAGAACTGTTCACATGTGCCACAGTGAAGAGTCCACTAGGTGTCTCAGTGTGCTTGTGTCTCGGCAAAGAAAGTTTCCCTTGTCCCACTAAAACAACCTGCAAATAGAATGAGAAAACCTATCCTACCAAGTGCAACACTAATTCTTCTTCGACCATTGTTAGTTGTTCACATTTTCCCCGCTTACTGTGTTTTTCCATCCACTGGCATTCTTAGTAAGCTAAAAAAAAAAAGAAAAGTTGAGTTAACATAGTCAATGATGTTTCTGAGAAGAATGCAAAAGTGGGTGAGAGAGATTAAGAGAAAACAGGGCGAAGAAAGACAGCCAGAAAGAAAAGCAGGGAACAAAGCACTTCTGGAAGAGAAAATGGAGCGATATTGTGTCAGTGTGTGTGGAGTGTGAGAGGGATGGTGGGAGGAGGGGTTTAATCCTGGTTGGATTATGGTATAAAGTGGTGCTGGAAGAGAGAAGGAAAAGATACTCTGGAGAGAGAGGATGTCCCTACAATCCATTCATCAGTCTATCCGTCGGCTCTCTGCATGTTAATTCCTTTGTTTCGGACAGTTTTGTTTTTCAACCGGGGACCATGTGAAGTTGTCTGGAAGAGCGGTGGAAAAGTCTCGCATTACTTTCCGGAAATGTAAATGCTCTCTTTCCTTTTTAGAAAAAAAAAAAAAATGACTGAGCTGGACTGAATTTGTATCTAGTATTGTTTTTTTCCCCTGGATTCAAGAGAGGGAAAAGCATGGAAGAGAGAAGTGGAGGATAGAAGTTATAGAAATAAGACCAAAGCCCTGGAAAGTGAGGTGTTGAAGAATGACAGGACTTACATGGGACCCCTTGTGCACAGAAGTGACGTCTGACATCCGGGATAAAAACATTGCCCATTCTTTCATATGCGGGGATACCCAGCTCAGCTGACATCAAACCAGCCATTTAGACTTTTTTTTTTTTTTTTGTTCAACATCCAGCAACTTTCTCTTCAAATCAGTATGCCTCTTAAAACCTTTAAAATATGACACAGTGAGTACTATCATCTGCTGCTGCAACGTTACATTTCACCATTACTTGTTTTTACACAACCCTGCTTATCTGCATAATATTATGGACTGCTTTTGAGTTCTTAAAACTACCACCAGGCAGAACTCAGTCATTGCGTTTATCTGGAGACGACCACAACGGTCATGTTGTTTGAGGCGTTTTTGCAGGTGCATAGATGCTTTTAGTTTCTGCCTATCCAAGATCGAGTTGCTGGGGGCAACGAGTTCAGGAGGGAAACCCAGACATCCTTTTCCCTGGAAACGCTCTACAGGTCATTGAGGGGGAGGCCAGGCCATCCCAAACCACCACAGAGAACATGTTGACCCACCACCTTAGTCAGGGTTTCCTCTCAGTGGGACTTCCCCAGAAAACCTCCAAAGAGATCCTGATTAGGTGAACAGTTCACTTCAACAAACCTCTTTTAGTTTGCTGATGCAGAGCCTCTCAAGCTATACATCAGACTGAGCCTCCACCTTATTAGGGTGGAGAAATAAGCTTACTTCACTGTTTGGAGTAAGCTTATTTCAGCCGCTTCTTAAAAAGAAAAAAAAAATATCTTTGCTTTTAGTAATAGAATTCAAGCATCTTGATATTTTGTCCCCAAGTGATTATAGGCAAGTTGAGTTGTCTTATATCCCATTTGACATAGGAATGCCTTGGAATAACCCTGAACGAGACAGAAACTGTTGCTGGGAAGCTGGATATCTGGGTTTCTCTTTTTCCCCCCACAGGATTGATACCTTTAAAGATAATTTGTTACTCCACAGCAGATTTTTTGGAAATTCTCTGATTTGCTCATGGTTAATTGTAATATTTAATTTACACTTTGGTACACTTTATTTCAAAGACAGATTTTACTGTGTTCAGATTGACAAAAGCTGGCAAAGGCGAAGAAACATAGTTTTGCAAGTGAAGACCTAAATCAGACAGTAAAATTACATTATGTCATTATCATGCTATTTGACCAAAGTCAAATGTAGGAATGTATTTAATATGAATTTGAAAAGCACATTCTTTCTTTTAAAAGTGGAAGCCTAAAAGCTAAAATGTTATTAGATCATATTTTTGATTCAAAAAAGGCAGTAAGATTACTGTTTATCCGCTCTTTAATAGGTCGATGTTATATTTTACATGTGAATTTGTCTTTGATTACAAGAGAAAACCAGAATTAGCCTGAAGTGTGGCAGGCTAATTAACGAGGACACCTCTCAGGTGTGCCCGCTTTATGCTGAGTAATTCACAGAGCCACCCGTCATTTTGTAGCAGTAAAGCTCTTCACTGGAAAATAAATCAATTTTCCAAGGGTGTAAGTAACATGTTTAAGAACTTTGCTTATGTTTTGGTTTAAAGCTGGGTGTCCAGGACCAAAATTGTTTGCACAGCTTTTTTTGTTTTCATTTTATTTCTTTGGCTAGCTAGCTAGCAAAGCTAACGAATCGGTTTTTCTTTTCTTTTCCAAGGGGAAACCCGGATGTAGTCCTTCTATGACAACAATTCCTTTTTTTCTTTTCTTTTTTAAAATTCTTTTAACACTAACCCCATGATTTCTGTTCTGCTTGGGCCAGTCTGCAGCAGTAGGTGGAACGATGCAGATTGCAACAGCTGCATGGATGAGCTGTTGTGGCTTGGGAAACGCTGGGAATGCCATCACATTGGGCAGAAGTGGGCCACGCAGAAGGAGGCTGATGATGCTGATGTGGATTATCCTCTCTGGCTCACTGTGCCTGGTGGTTGACGGCCAGATGAAGATCCCACCAGAAACGTGAGTACAGCTGCAATGAGTGCAACTCTGGCAGACCAGGGAGAAAACAATGACGGTCTTGATTTTCTAAACCCCTCAACTTAATTTGTTTAAAAGTTCACATAAATATTTAAAATGAATCTGTCAGTGGATATTGCTTCTCCTCAAAGCGAAGCACGCTGATCTGCTAATCAACAATGAGACGTTTCCCACTTAATATCAAAAGACAATTTGATCAGGTAGATTCCATGTGTACGCTTTTAAATCCACCAGCAGCATGGTTCTTAAAGCCGTTGCCATTACGGATGACTCAATATTGTTTTTTCCAATTTGGCTTAAGCATACTGTATGGGCCATCTGTTAACCTGTGGGATACAAAGAACTGCCAAATTACCCTAGAATCTTTCAGCTGCCACAGACGGAGAATGATGTTTCCAAGTAAATTCTGGTTATTTTTTCTTTCTGACCACAACAAAACTTCAGTTATTATAATTTTATATATTTTTACAATTGTAAACTAGATGTTTGCTTAATTTAGCAAAACATCTGACCCTGTTACCTTGTTTTATCCTTTACTGTTGTGTTTTCTTTTCTTATGGGTAAAATACAAAAAAATCAGTTTTCAAATGATGATTTCATTTATCAAAAGAAAAACGATGTTTAAACTGATGTATCTGTGAAAGAAGTAATAGCCTCTCTTTTTAAATCATTTGTTTGTAATTGAGAAAACCTCTGATGCGGCTGCTGATGTTTTAGAAAATTGTGTCATTGGGCCAGAGTGACTAAGAATTAAAGCAGCAGTTTTTCTGGTCACCTCAGGTCACTTTGACACAAAATTCATTATGCCGTCTGAAGATTTGGAGGCTCTTGCTTCACTGGAAGTGAACAAAGCAACGACGGTTACATTTCACATCAGGACGGGTCAGCTGTTTAGTCGCTGTGGCAGCTTCACTATTCTGCTACCATTAGGAAGAAAATGGGCACGTTTTAATCCTTATATTCTCTTTCCAATCTGCTCTGTTCACATTTACTCCTGTTCTTGCTCATTTCCTCTTCTCCATTTTGTTCCAGGGTTTCTTTTATTTATTTTTTTGACTTTTATCACAATTTTGCAGTAGACAGAATTTTGCATTTATTAAGTGTTTTCTTTTCTGTCAAAGTCTTACCTGCTTTTAGCCACATTTTCTTCCACGTGACTTGCGGCATCATCCTGCTTTACCTTAAATTCAATTAAGGCCTTATGGTTTTTTTTTAGAAAAATACTGTTAGGATGTTTTAGTACAAAGAAAAAACGGGTATCGCCTCCATCATGCGTACAAGTACTTCCAATTTGTTTTGTTTTTTTTGTTTTTGATAGGATGAAAAGAAAACATACTGAAAAGAAATATTAAACATAAACATTCAACAAACTTGAATGTGTTAAAGCCGTACTTGTAAAAGTATGGAATTTGATTTGATCACTTTCCAAATCTGAATAAGTATAAAAACATGAAAAACATTTGAGTTCACAAATTTATTTTCTGTTTTAGTATCTATTTAGACGACGATCTTTATTTTCGGCTTGTGTTTTGGTCAGGTTTTAAATTGGACCCAATATTAATGAAATAGTCTTATTACACAAATCACAAAACTGTGATTTAAAGAATATCACAACGCAATCGTGCCATCGATGTTGTGCCTTTGAGTGACAAAGAATCTTCTTTGCAATTTTTAAAAAATCTCAGAAAGTAAAGATGTTTTTTTTTTTTTTTGTCATTGTACAATAAACAGTTTGTAACGAATCTGTCAGCAAATACTGAGCGTGTTCAGTACTGAGGGGAGCAAGCTGCCCACGTCCCAGAGAGCTGGCTGACTCCCCATAGGTTGAGCCATCTGTCACATCCTGTCTACGCTATGACCTTATCTCGGTTGCATTCGCATAGAGGATTTGTAGAATTACTGCATGTTATTGAGCACAGAATAACCCTTTGGCCTGGCAGCCATGTCTGTCCTCTTCCTCGGTCACCTTCAGTAAGCTCATTTAATCTCTCATTGGGGAGCCACCTTGACATCTAAACTTTTTATTTTAAATTTTTACAATTTGTCATTTTTAAAACTGCAAATGTCAAGGTGTTTTATTTGAATATTTGCAGTGAAAGAAAAATTATGCATGTTTTTTTTTTTTCTTCTTTAGTGGGGGTACGTTGTATAACAATATTCCAGGATTTGGGTTTAATCAATCAATTAGAATTAAAATCTACTGACTGATTCGATAGATGTTCGGTATTAGATATTTGCTGTTTTTTCGTTTGACTTAGGAGCGGCTCAGACAATAACAACTTTAAAGCAGTGAATGGTGTTTCTTTTCTTTTTTCTGTGTTCAGTGTGCAGCAGTGGGCTGCGTCCTTCGGAAAAGAGATCGCTGCTTTGTCCAATAGATATTCTGGAGCTAAACTTTTGCAGAAGGTAAGATAACCCACATGTTCACGCAGTAAAAGCCAACTTGACCCATTTCTGAACAAAACAGACGTCGGTCAGTAGATATTTCCAAAGTGCTTCATACGCCATCTGGGAAACATTCCCTGCAGTTTGGGAATTTCACACACCTTTTGCTGAGTGGAAGACAGTGATGGTTACATGTTAAGGATTAAGAACATTTACAGTTTATCTACACGGACAAATATAGGAAGTTGTGCAAAGAAATTGATCAAGCTTTTTGCATTACATTCAAGCTGTCAGGACACTTGGATTAATACACAAATCTTAACGTTAATTTAACTAACCTTGGCTGCTGCTTTTTTTTTATGCAGGAAGAAAAAAAATATTCAAAGACAGGTTTGAAAGGGAAACCATTCATTACCTTTGAGTTTAGTGGCATACATTTTCCATACAGCATCTGCTCGATAACCATAGACCAATCTGGTCACACGGTTAACCTAAATACGACTCGGATATGTTGTTCAGTAATTAGTACATGCAATTTTTCTCTGCATGCCACCCTCTGGAGTCCCTGGCAGGCCCATTCACCATCTGCCGCACTCGTATTGTGTGTTTTTATTCTGATACCTTTCATTAACTTTTCGATCTTTTACTAAATGCGTTGTAAAATAAAATCTCTCCCAACAGATTTTGGATGCTGAAATATGTCCAAGGCATGCATTCGTTCAGGACATTAACTTCCCCATTTGGATATGTAAATCCCTTGTTTTCACACAAATTTGTGCAGTGACTCTACTGTTATTGGCTGTGTTTACGCAGACCGTGTCGCTTTCTCATATTTCAGAAGCTTATCTTTGTTTTCGGCCACCGGTGTGTAAAAAGCATCCAGTGCATTAGTTTAATCTTCGCAACATGAAGCCATTAATCGCCTACCTGTGTCTAATCAATGGCTTTCTAGCTGCAGACCGTTTTGCGACTCGGACTTCTTGCTTGTGTAGCCTGGCTAAGCTACTAAATATTTTTCAGTTGCAAGATCCTGAAAGAACATTTTGATTTTTGTTCAGCAGCCACAGCTTTGTTTTTATTTGCTGTAGGCTGCAAAGAGCTCTTCATAATCCTTCCTTTATAATCCTTTCTCTTGTTTATATCTGCTTTCCTGCTGCAAGATAGGGGAAATTAAAAAAACTGTTTCTGTGAAAGTAAAAAAAGAAAACCTATACATTCAGTAAGTTTTAAATTGATTTGTTTGATAGAGTTTGATGATTTTACAGTGTGTTCACGAAGTATTCTAATTCATTTTTGAAGCCTTTTTCTGGTCAAATGAGTATAGGTTATTAGTATTTCATGCTTTATTCCCCTTCATATTTGTTAAATATGATGAGGAATAAATTTAACATGATTTAATACAACAATCTGTTTGCCCAGACATCCATTCATCCATCGTTTTGGACTTGTGGTACCTGCTTTGACAACCAATAGTTTAATGTAGCTTTCTATAGTCTACTTATTGTAAGAAAATGTAAAAATGTCACTCCAACCAGCAAGAGACTGCTCAGATGTGTTTTGACTTAGAGAGGTTATAATTTTTGATATTTCAAAGACTCTTAGTGCTGCTACTCCCATTCCCAAGGCATGAAATCGGAGCGTAATATGAACATTTTGGAAAATATGTCCAGTCATCATTAGATTCATAATTTTTTAGCAATTATCCCTAAAAGGCTTAAAAAAAATATTTAACAGCCAAACATAATTAACTCATGCACATTCATATCAGGTGGAGCTATGATTCGGGTATGATTTTAACAAGCTACCCTAGGTTTTATAGAGTTTAGGAATCTTTCTTAGCAGCAACAAGGTGGCATGATTTATGGTTTTTATCCAGAATACGAGATCTGACCTGGTGTTCTTTTTATTTCGCCTGTGATGGTACAGAATAAGATTCTGTCTGGCTTCATGATTTACATAAAGACACTAAGCTGCTCGCAAAAGTAGATTTGGAAAGCTGCTTAACAAATTTGACCCAAAACCAGCCGGGTTTCTCCACAAAACCAATTGCAAACTCCGAATCTGTTCCCACCGCGTATTCAGGAGGCACAGGAATTAAAGCCGTCGGCACTGATGGCTATTTTACCGACGCTCAATTTATTAATGTGAGCATAGTTGAGTCACTTTTGCAATTGGGTCAAATCCTGTAAGGTGCAGACTTGGCGGGTGGAAACCCAAACGTAGCTTGTAGATGCTTAGTCTAACTTTTTAACTGCAAATGTTTAAATATACATAACATGGACTTGACTAAATTGGTCAAAATTTGTTTTGAAGAAATACAAGGATGTGGAGGGCGTGGTGAAGATGGAGGAGGTGAACGGTGAAGAGCTGGTAAAGAAGTTTGCGGAGGAAATGGAGGAAATGCTGGGAAGGAAAATGAAATCAGTGAAGGTAATAACGACATGCTAGAGAAGTGAACGGACGATATGTTTGATGCAGGGAGTCTGCTGCTTGTTTGATCCATCATCAGTAACTGTTGCTTTATCAATCACAACAAGTGCTTCAGTAACATGATTGTAGTTTTGAGTGCTATTAAGAAGTTGTGTTTTGCCACAGAGATTAGCAGAAGCAGCAGAAGATGCTGATCTGGGGCATGAATACAACGAAACGCTAGAGGTAAGTGAGAATGTGTTTGGGTTCAACCATTTATCCAGGCGAGCTGTACGTCATTTTATCCTGTTTGCTTAGTTTTAGTGATATTCAGCACTCCTGATTTACCAGAGCTGTGTTAAATTGTGTAAAATTATATTATTAACCCCAGAAGTGCAGTTTGAATGCCTATATCTTTATTTTTATTAGGCTTTTAATAAGCAGAATTTCCATCCATCCATCCATTTTCTGTACACCCTAGCTTTTATACTTCATAGATTCATAACACAGAGACTGATCTACACTCTGGTAAAGAAGGTTAGCCTAACAGATTGCTGCATCTTTAACACCTCTTTTCAGAGTATGGTATTAAAGCATGTAAATGGAAAGTTGAGTGGAAGGAAAAAGTATGTCAGAAAAAGGTGCACAAGCAACACGAATAAATGCAGTGTTTGTTTTCTTTTTTTTTTTTGGTATGATGTAATTGTCTTGTGATATAAGAAAGTGAATTCGTCACAAAGTTTTCTTATGCTCCAGGCTGGCCCTGCCTTACAAGCATCTGTTGTTGAACTTTTTCCCCAGTTTGACTACTTTAACTCCCTGTTGATCAACACTGTGGATGAGGAGGGCAATCCAATACCACTTGGTGGAGAATTCCTCTTAGAGAAAAATGAACATTTCAATAAACTTCCAGTTAGCACACAGCAGAGTAACATCCAAGTTCCTACAAATGTTTACAATCGAGGTAACAAAATCAGAAAGCCTGGATTTCCATACAAATGCAGTAAATCTCTTACGAAATCCAACTTTGTTTTTCTGCCTCTTTTTGCAGATCCTGATATTCTAAATGGGGTCTACATGTCCGAGGCTCTGAATGATATTTTTATTGATAACTTCCAGAAGGATCCAACTCTCACTTGGCAATATTTTGGCAGTGCCACAGGCTTCTTCAGGCTCTACCCAGGTACACTGAGAGGCTGTTTTTGCATCCTGCAAATTTACCTTGCTTTTATATTTACCTGCTGTATTTTCACCCATTACTGTGCTGTTAATGCAGTAAGTGGAGCAGCAGATACATGTTAAACTAAAGTCAAACAGGATACTTACTTGGTATGTTGTATGTAAAATTCAGTGCATGGTGGCAGTAGATATGGTAGGAGTAGTACCTTTAGGGGAAAGATGGTTACTGTTAAATCCTTCTGTGTACTGACTCTCAGATTTTTTTTTTTTTTTTTTGCTTTGGTTTTTACATTCTCAGGAATCCAGTGGATTCCAGATGAAAATGGCGTGGTCACCTTTGACTGCAGAAACAGAAACTGGTAAAGCTACAACCATTCCGTCATCCGTCACGCAGTGATGTCTTTTTAAAACAAACATGTTGCCTGCTACTAAAAATCTTAAAAATAAAGATTTTTTTTTTTATCTCTTTAAATCTCAGCTACATTCTTCCTACACTTTGTGACAGAGATCATCAGCCTCCTCTACATTGTTGTCGTAGTTGATTCTTTTTTGCAGCATCTCTCACTGTCGCAGGCAGGCACCAGTCTTTGGTGCCAACAAAATAGGAACACATTGTACTATAGCCTACATTTTTAAAATGTAAAAAAAAAAAAAAAAGGAATGATCTGGCCAAATATTGTACGCTTTTAATTAGAAAAAATTACCTCTTTTCATAAAAATAATCAAGTAAAACATTCCCAGGAGTAAGGCTGCACAAACAGAGCAACATTTTGCCTTCCTGGAAAGTTTCATGGAACAGCTTTTGAAGTTCCAGGAACTTTGCGACGTTCTTAGACAGGCTGTTGTTTTGGAAAGCGGAAATCACGGAGCTAAATGGTCTCGACTGCTTCCAATCACATCTGCTACAGTGGAAATCTTGTTTGCGTGTAATTGGCTTAGAAAGTCAGGGGATGGCAATAAAGGGATGATGGTACGCAAGGAACGGAAGACTGGAGGAACAAATAAAAGGATAACCCTTGCTCCGTTCCTGCACTTCCTTGTTGACGTCATCGTGATCTTTACCTGTCTGTCCAGGTACATACAGGCCGCCACGTCTCCCAAAGACGTGATAATCGTGGTGGATGTGAGCGGCAGCATGAAGGGGCTGAGACTGACGATAGCCAAGCACACAATTAATACCATCCTAGACACTCTGGGAGAAAATGACTTTGTAAACATCATAGCTGTAAGTATGAGAACACCCAGGGATGTGGTATTGGTTTCGAGACTTTCATCTGATTGAATATGAAAATATTAACTTTTTTTTATTCCTGTTACCTTTCTATATTACTAAATGTTTCCTAATTTCTCTCATTTTGTTGGTTTCTCTCCAGTACAGTGACTATGTTCGCTACGTGGAACCCTGTTTCAAGGGCATGCTGGTACAAGCTGATCTGGATAACAGAGAGGTAACGCGCGCGCGCACACACACACCACCAACAAAAAAGCCAGACGCATACTGGCTTTACAGCTAATTAATACAATTAGCTTCTGCTGACCCAATCCTGCTAATCCTCTGATGACAGAGATTCACATGATAGTAAAACACCACAGGTTAAGTTCAGGGTCAAGGTCTTGGGGGCATTTTATCCTGCTTCTCGCTGGTAGCAGGTCAGTGTAATTCAGCTGCACCTCAGTAAATTAGAAAACTATTGGAAACATTTCTACGTTTCTCTGCGCTGGTGCAGCTCGGATTCCATGCTTTTTCTGTTGTGCCACATCTAAACGTTTTAAATTACCCACCTGTTAAATATTACAGGTGTATATGTATGGGTAGATGAAGAATAATGAAATCCTTTATGTAAGAACGCGCTGTAATTGTAGCATTCGCTGTAAGACCCTTTATACCCCCAAACATAATGAAAGTCCAAAACACATTATTCACTTGTGTCCATTTTCTGCCAGCCAGTTATAATTTCTTTAATGTATTTTTCATTCGTCTTAGAAATACCATTTCTGCTTACTTTATTGTAAAATGAGGCATACAAATTATCTTTTTTAGTAGACTAAGCATATTAAATACTTTACTCTTTAGTCACATCTTTTATTTCATTTTTAGAGTAAATACAAAGCAGTACCATTAATATCTCATTGCTTTTCTGCTGCAATCATTTTTTTCTCCTCCTGCTCATCAGTTCTCATGCTTTGATATCCTAACACCTGCTCAGTCTGCTCCGCCATAGCATGTGCGTGTCTGTTTACTGGATATATGCCCTACTTTCACTCCCATCCACATTGTTACGGATCAGGTGAGGTCGCTGGCTGCTGACAGTTTTATAAGCGCGTCATGTGGCGTGTGAGGGTGGGATTTGATTGGCTGAATGCACAGAGAGATGGGCTGCAGGAGAATGGACAGATGTTGGCTGGCACATTTGTTCATCCTTATTAAAGAACGCTCGGCAATCATGTCTTTCCAAAACCCATTTTTTGAAGCAGGAGCTCATGATGAGCTTTTCTGAGCTACCACCTATAAATGTGAGTGCTTGTTTTTATGAGTTAGATACAGCATTCACGCTCATTGGAATTTTGAAGAAGAAAAAAATTGTGCTACCACCATAAAGTTCAATGTGTGAAGGATTTTAGAGTGGTGTGTAATTGTGAAGTTAAAGTAAAATGCTGTGTAGTGTTAAACAATAATTTTTTCTCAAAGTAGGAAGTGAAAAGTATTGCCTGCGTTTGTAATTGGCATTCCTGATTCAACATTTTGTCAAAACACATTTTGCTGCAGCGTTTAGCAGCTTTACGCAACTAGAAACTGGAACTTTTTTTTGCAAAATAGCTGAAGGTCAGACACGTATTTTGCACTTTGTGAGCATCAATTTTCAAGGCACGCCTCAGTCTTGATTGGATTTAGATCTATTCTTTGACTAGGCCATTCGACCACAAGAATATATTTTCATATGAACCATCCTGCTGTAGTGCTGGCTGTGTGTTTAGAGTAGTTTTCCTGCTGTAAACTACTCACTGTGCATGCAATAGCCTGTGTGCATGTGTTAATTAATCCTGATTACCTCCTAGGGCTGTAGTAACTTTGCTTTTATTGGTCAGTGTGCCTGGGAACCAGGCATAAGCCCTTGACTGCACAGTCCTTCTCATGTTTTCTACCTCCTAAAACACATGAGTCAGTTTGCCTGCATTTGCCAAAATTAAAGTAGCAATGAAGACGTGATGTTGTCTGATTATATATTTTATCTGACATTACAGCACTTCAAGCTTTTGGTGGATGAGCTTCAAGTCAGAGGAGAGGGCAAAGTAAAAAAGGCAATGAAGGAGTCTTTTAAGGTCCTTAACGAGGTTGGTCTCTATTCTTTGGGAAAAAAAAGTAAAATAAAATATATATATACATATGAGCAAAATTTGTTGTGAAATGGTGCAGTTATTTCCAGTCACGTTTGTGGATGAATGTGTTTAGGCTGCTTCACTGGGGCAGGGCAGCCTGTGCAACCAGGCCATCATGCTGATAACAGACGGCGCCATGGAGGACTTCAAGGATGTTTTCGAAGAGTTTAACTTTCCAGAACGTCGGGTGTGAAGTTTATTTTGACTCAGCTGTTTAGAGTACTGAATGTGGGGTGTTTTCTGCCGCTTAGATGCTTCTTTTACCCGTTTCCGCAGGTTCGAGTGTTTACGTATCTCATTGGGCGCGAGATGACGTTTGCTGAAAATGTTAAATGGATCGCCTGCAACAACAAGGGTAAAGCTAATTTATGTTTTTGTTTCTTCTGTTTCCTTTTTTCAAATGTTTCAGAGAAAAGCCCGACCCAGTAATTAAACCAGAGTCTCTTAGGAAAAATCATATCAGTCTCAGAGTAGAGATGAAGGTATTTCCTTATTTTCAACTAGATCAGAATTGAGGCTATTTGTAGCCATCAGTTGCTGCCCCCTTGTGAATTACATGGTGTCATGCATCAGTTCAGATCAGAAAGATGCAGCATTCAATGAAATTTTGGTTCTGGTAATCCCTCCCAACTGCTACCATTTCTGTATTTATATTCCTTACATTTTCATACATTTTTACTGGTCAGTTTAACAGAATTTGGCCAGTTGGAAGCAGGGTGATGGCTCCATCATGCTTTGGGGTCACGTTTCTTGAGTGGAGGCAGACGGCCAGTCTTGGAGAAAAACTGATTCAAATTTGTTGTTGGAGATTCTCTTTCAAGTTAAGAGCTCTAAACTTTCAGCTGTCCGCACATATTGTCTTGTAACAACTGAACAGTGTGAGATCTGCAAAGGGTGTAAATATTTTTCCAATGCACTCTATATCTGATAGAATTAGGAGTATTTTCCTAAGATGAATTTTGTTCATTTGATACATTGATAATCACATAAAACCTGGACTACGTCAAACCACAGGAGAGTTATCGACACACACATTTATGTAATTTTGTACGTCGAGATGTCTGGTGAAATAATGCATTGCTTTTATTTTAGCATCAATAGAAATCGCACAGTTTAATAAAAATTTAAAAAAAAAACTACCGTAATTATATCTTAATAATTTCTCTGATATTTTATGGACGCTAAATTTACTGCATTTTCCAGGTAAGTGAAATGTGTTTGCATGAATTTGCTTATCCTGCAGGTTATTACACACACGTGTCCACACTGGCTGATGTTCAGGAAAACGTCATGGAATATCTCCACGTTCTCAGTCGGCCAATGGTTATCAACCATGACCACGACATCATCTGGACAGAGGCCTACATGGACAGTGTGGTCAGTCTTCTTCTCTCATTATTTACAAACTTGTTGGGCAGAATGAATATGATACAGTTAGAATAAAGACAAATCTTTCTCTTTAGGTTTTGGTGCATCTTCTTTGTTCAGCTGCATCATTTTTCCTTCCTTGTCATTCTTTCTTTTTGCTGTCATGCATTTCATCCTGGTTTGTTTTCTTCTTCTCTCCATTATCCCATTCAGCTTCCCAATAAAGATGAGGTAATCATAATTGGAGCTTTGGCTTAGTTATGTAAAGTAAAGGGGTAATCATGCTAATGTCTTGTTTAGAATGTTGTTTCCATCTAACAGCTTCCAGACAGCGTTTTGTTGTCTGTAGATGTTTTTGTTACGTTTTTCTAAAACTGAACTTGGCTGATGATGCTCTTCAGTTTGATTTGTTAGAAACCGACCATAGATTACTAAGCATAAGTAATCTTTGTGTCATATATGTTGGTCTTAAAAATCTGAAAATAGAGAAAGTATTCTTTTGAACTCATTCATTTATTCACCTCATTTTCATCAACTTTGTCACATTTCCTTGCTTTTTTTTTTACTACTTTGTCTGCCAAGTTCTCTGTTCCTTTATGAATGCATCCATAAGTCACTTTTACTTCAACAGAAGTTTAAGTGTATATCTGTGTTTTTTTGTATTGCAGCTGTTTAACACTCATGCACAGAGTTTGCTTCTGATGACCTCAGTCGCCATGCCTGTTTTCAGTAAGAAGGAAGAAACTGTAAGTTGACTTTTTGTTTTTTTTTATTTGTTAAATGTATGGTTTTATGTTCATACTGATGCATGAGTACAGAAGGAAGGGAAGTATGAACATCAATATAGATTATAATGGATTCAAAGTCTGGCTCCATTTATTTTTTTTTTTCTGTCAAAGTTGTGCTCAGTTGTGCAAAGGCCATGCTACCTTAAAGGTAGCATGGCCTTGTATAATTCATTACATTGAGCTCTGGTGTCCTTTTCTCTCCAGCTGTCTCACGGGATTTTGCTGGGTGTGGTAGGAACAGATGTGGCCTTAAGAGAACTGATGAAATTAGCTCCAAGATACAAGGTAAATCATATGTGATTTACAGCTTAAAGAAACAGACAACATGTCTATGAGGAAAATGGTTCCTTTTAAATTGCTAATCACACCATTTGGTCTTCTTCTGACTGATGCTGAAAATAGTTCACTGAGCCTTTTACATCTTCCACACAAGGGAGTGTTTAGCACTTCACTGACAGCAATAATCAGATGTTTCAGTTTCCACACTGGCTGATCACAGATTAGGGAGGAAAAAGCTAAAACAAAATCAGCCTAACCCAGTCTCTATTTGATTTCTTGGTGTGTTCTGTTTATATGGTGTTTTCTTCCTTACTGTCTTTATGTAGACTCTGCAGTGCTGTGCTGTATTTGTAATATTGATGTTAATTGAGCACATCTTTTTAAACAGCAATGTGTGCGACTGTAACACACCGTGTAATGTCATAACAGCAAGGAGAGATATAAGTGGTTTTCTGCTGTTCTGTTCCTCCAGCTGGGTATCCATGGTTACGCCTTCCTCATCACCAATAATGGTTACATCCTGTCTCATCCAGAACTGCGGCCTCTGGTACACGCAAAGATTTGCTTCACATCCTCTGAGAGACTGTTGACTTTTTATTAACCCGGCGGCGTTGGTAACAAACTCCCACATGTCTGTGTTTTTGTCTGTGACAGTATAAAGAGGGAAAGAAACTGAAGCCTAAACCAAACTACAACAGTGTTGATCTGTCAGAGGTTGAATGGGAGGATACTGAAGAGAAAGTCAGTGCACAATTTTGTATTTCATATATATATATATATTTTTTTTTTTTTGAATGACTGCTGTACTAAAATGATCATAAACAAGAGTCCTGAATATGTGATGTTTCCGTTTATAGCTGAGGACAGCCATGGTCAAAGGAGAAACCGGCACAATGTCCTTAGATGTGAGATCTTCAGTGGACAAAGGAGTAAGTACTTTGCTTCCTTTTATGAAATAGTTCCAGGCCATCTTATCTCGTTTTCATTCCTATTTAACAAGTATTTATTTTATCATCTGAATGAATTCAGAATATGGCTGTTTAACCAGTTCTGCATGATTATTATGTTATTGTTGCCAAATTTGTGATCTTTTGTGCTTCCTTCTTGCAGAGGAGAGTGATCTTCTTGAAGAACGATTATTTTTACACCGTCATAAATGAGACGCCATTCAGGTTTGTTAATTTTTAATTTTTTATTTTTTTTTGCAAATAGCATCTACTGTGCTTTGCAAAAGTGTTCACACCACTTAAATTTCTTTTCCACATTTTGTCACTTTAGAGGCAGAAACTTCAATGTGCTTCATTGGAAGTAGATGTGATATAAGACAGTCCAGGATTCTGACTTAGAAAGGAAGAAAGGAAATGATCTGATGACTTTCAAATAATTTTTTTTTTACATATGAAAAGTGTGGCATGGATTTGTATTCAGACTCCTGAGCTAATACTTTGTGGAACCACCTCTTGTGCTTACAGCTGCTAACCTTTTGTGTCGCTCCCAGCTTTGTACATTAAAAGATGATTGTTCTTATGCAAAAATAGTTCAAGGTCACTGTGAACACACTTTCAACACTCTGTAGCCCTGCTTTAAACTTGTCCACAACTTCCTCCCTGACCTTTCTGCTGTCTGGTCGTTGTGATGCGGTTTGTTCACTAACGTTCTGTAACAGACCTCTGAGGACTTCATGGCATTTTAGTGACATCTGATGGCAATTTTTGCATTTATTTAGAAACACTAATCCTGACATAAGTAGAATTACTGTATATGAACAATGTATATTTTTAGATTTAATCACCTGTAAGCATATGGATGCTTGTGCTGTTGTGTTTATTATTACACATTTTTTTCTGTTTCTATTTTGACAGTCTTGGTATAGTCTTGAGTAGAGGGTATGGAGAGTACATCTTCACAGGAAACGTCTCACTGGATGAAGGTAGATGTAAAGCTTTAGTAAATCTGTTTTTTTTTTTTGTTTTGTTTTTTAAGAAAACATTTTTTCAGTCTCTCCTTTTCCCGCTTTCTTTAACAGGTCTTCATGACTTAATCACTCCAGATCTGACCTTAGCCAATGAGTGGTAAACATATAGTATTGCATTTCCTTTTAGAAGTTTCAGTGGAAAGGTATACAGACATTTATCTACATATTTTTGTTTTTGCAGGACCTACTGTGAGATAGATATCGACCCGGCACATCGCAAACTGACCCAGCTGCAGGCTGTCATAAAATATCTCACTGGGAAAGAAAAAGATCTGCGCTGTAAGCCTACACTCAGTTTCATTCACCAAATAATTTTGTTTGCTTGCGATTTGAAATGTAAATATTTTTCTTTGAAAACTTTCAGATTTTTCCCTCTTATTTTGTCCTTACAGGCGATAGACAGTTATTGCAACAGACTCTATTTGATGCTGTTGTTACAGCACCTATGGAAGCGTACTGGACCGCTCTCATGCTTAACACATCTAGGTGAACAAAAACGCTGAAATGAAATTCCCTCTGGATGCAGTGCTGGGCTTCCAGCCTTATAATTTCAACCTCGCCTCACCTTTTTTTGCTTTGTGCTTTGCGTTTTCTTGCTCTCCCAGTATGGATGATGGTGTGGAGACTGCTTTCTTGGGGACTCGTTCAGGCTTGCAGAGGTTCCTGAGGTACACGGGTGTTGAGAAAAGAGTTGGCAAGTGAGTGGTGTTAAACAGCTACCATGTTTATGAGGTTTCAAATCAAATCTACTCCTCTGAGATTTTTTTCCCCCTCTGTTCTCTTCCAAATTGAGAATAAGCATGATTTTGCACTAACATTCAATGCATTTCTCTTTTGTTCTTCATATACATAGATTTTAAACTGAAGGTAGACTTCAATGGTTTTTGTCCCCTCAGGTCTTTCCTGACCTCCACAGATAAAGAGAACATGTTCACTCTGGACCATTTCCCTGTGTGGTACCGCAGAGCAGCGGAGTATCCAGTTGGACAGTTTCTGTACTACATGCCCAGACAGGACACAAGAGGTAGAGGGATCACTTTCACGTTGCAAACAATTTAGAGAATAATTAGGAAAGACGTATAGAAAAGCTGTCAATCTTTACAATTTCCAAATATTCCATAGTTATTCTATGAAAAGGTTTGTTTATCCGCAGTATTTATCAAAAGGCAGTTATTTGTTGATGTAATCTGGATATTTGTCCTTAGTCACAAAAAATATTTTTCATGAAAAATCTTTATTTGAACAAACATAACATCTCCCATTATGTTGATTGCCACTGATATTTCCTCTATTTAGGTTTGACAATAACTTGACAGTAGATTTAAAGAAAAAGTGAACAGTAATTTTTTTTTCAAGCTTTTTAAAATGTTCCCATGTCGAAATAAGTTTTAATTCTTTACACAATAAAAAGAAGTTGAAAAATAAACTTTTTCACATTTTGTCACTTTACAAAATCCTAATAAATCTATCAAAGTCTGTCGTATGCATCCTGAAGTAATTTTGAGAACAAAATGTCACTTTATTTTGCCAACATGTATAACGTGTGGTGGAAAAGTGAATAAATATATCGGAAACAATGTTTAGACTTTATTTGTACAAAATTCTTATTTGCTTTCCTAGTTGACAATTATTCTCAACTTTGTGATGCTCTTTCACATAAATTCCTAATAAAAAATACTTAAATATCAGCAAATGCTTTTGCAAGGCAAGGACTGTTTAAAACTATAAAGGGTATTCTGAGAATAAAATTGAAAGATTTTTTTCCTTTTTTTTCCTTTTTAATGTATTCACGTTCTCAGATTGTTTCATACAAGTGATTAATTTATGCTAAATAGTGCGTTTTAAATAATCATCTAAATGTTTTAGGACGATGGTGAAAAAAAAGTGTCATTTTCAGATATATTCAGGGGTTATGAGGCTGCCTATAGTGCCACCTTCAGTTCAGAAGAGGTGCAACACCGTGTGGAGGAGCAGGGTAGAGAACTGCCTCTGATACTTGGCATGCCTCCACTTCTGAATCTATCCTGCCCATAATTTTCCTTGGCTCTGGGCTTAAGATGACATAAACTGCTGTAGCTCTGTGTTTCTGTTTTTAGTTTATTTTCGGTTTTGGCTCGGTCCTGCCTTTGTTCCTTTTTATCTTTCCGGTTCCCACTCATAAAGCATGCCGCTTAAATATGAGAACATCCTGTCAGTTTTCTCCCATCAGAGAGGAAGATTCTCGCTGCTTCATTTTGACCCATTTCAACTCGTATACATCATTATAAAAATTATATCAGAGAATCTATGCAGTGCATGGTTATCTCTCGCAGGATAAGTAACGGAAAATAAATAACGGAGAGCACATGGACGCCCAAAATACACAAGTGCATTCCTTTGGTTGTGGATACATTATTCAATTAGCTCTCCTAATCTCAGTTATGCAACACTTGAAATGTTAATCTGTTTGAAATCTGAGGCTTGGTGACTGTCAGCATCTGCTGAAGGCTGCAAATAGATGCAAAACAGATTTAAAACAGAGCATGAATCTTAATATTACCTACCTTGGTGCAAGTCAGCCTGCCACACATTTCTCTAAATACATTTCAGCAAATCTGACGCATTTCATCTGACGGTAGCATTGTAAAAACGCTTATTAATAAAAGAAAATGCAGTGTATTGTGCTTCTGCATGTCGGGAACGAACGCATGCATCCATATGCCACATTATGCATGAATTGACAAAGGTGCTGGAATTTTCTTTTTAAGATTGTTTCTGTTGCTCTACCAGCAGGAAGAATTGTGATTAGCGCCACTGCTGTGACTGTGACGGTGGGCAAGAAAACAGCCATCGCTGGAGGTAGGATGACGGCTCTTATTTCTTCTTCCCATTCCTGTTTAATCTTCTCTTAATCCTCCACCTCTTTTAATGTTCTTCACTGATTTCTCTAAGCTCCTGCATATTTAAATGACTAAACTTTGATTTCCTTACTTCATCCTAAAGTTTGTGGAATTTCTACCAGCAAAACCAGATGGTATATCTTACTAATTTGAGACATTTGAACAAAAAAGTAAAACTTAATTTTACAGTGACATTAAATTGAGACTTATTTGTTGTTGTTTTTTTGTTTGTTTTTTTTTGCAATAGCATCTGTTTTTGTGCTGGATGAATCTCTTGTAGTTATTGTAGTGTCAAAATTAAAACCACCACTGCTCACTTTGCTCACAACAAACCCAAAAAAGAAAGATATTAACACTGTAGACTCAATGTGAGGCAGTCAAAGAGTGAAGAAGAGAAGTAGCCTGAAGCCACATGTTTGTGACCTCGTAGAAATGTATTGGTTGAGTTTGGACATAAAATCTAGATGATTCTGTTTTGTTTAGGTGCTTTAAGTTTTATATTTCAAACTCTACACTTTAGTGCTTAGCTCACGAGTTTCAGTGAGAGGACTTTTACCTCCCAGCGCCCTGCAGCTAATTTCTCATCCCGCTATCGTCAAGTCTCTGAAAATCAACTGGATGGATACAGTTTATAGCAGACTGTACTTTGAGCTGTCTTGTGATTGAATCTTGTTAAATGCGATGTCTGAACTGTGCTTAAAATAACTCGCATTTGCTCTGCAAGAGCAACACGGTGGAGCACAGTTATCTGTTAGTGGCTTGCTTGGAGGCATTGTGCCAGATTTTCTTACATTAAAGAAATTAAACTCCTTGCTAAGAAGACATCTAAGAAAGTGAGATGAAAGAGAAGCAAGATTATAGCCAGCAGGGGGTTCCGGTTTGCGCCAAGAGGGAGAATCCTAAAATCTGCTAAAAAGCTCTACATTGTTGCTGGATTTGTTTCCGTTTGGTTCAGTCAGACACGATTGACCTGTGCTGATAACCAGTCTAGACCAGACTGGGAAACACGACATACACTTGAGTAAACTCATAATGGCATATAAACCTGTTGTTCACTATCTGAAGTGTAAAAATTATACATTTAAGCGTGAGAAACGGGAAGAAGTAAATGTCACAGCTTTTTATTATTTGACCATTTTATGCTGTATCCTTCCGTGTCTGCATGGTGTCCTATTCTTAATCATGAGAAGGTATTTGTTTCCACTCCAGGATTTCACATAATACAAAGAAAAATTCTTTATTTTTTTGTTTTTGTTTGCGTACATCTGAGATACACCGCAACAGGGACAAAGAATCTAAGCGGATCAGATGGCAAACACCGTGGCAGAGAAATAACTTTTATGAAGAATTTGAGTTGAAGGAGTTCCCACTTGCATCCTATGTAACTTCCTTTCCTGTGTCCTACCTTTCTTTTAAGCATCCTCCCTCTCTTCTGTCCCTACTTCCTTTTCTGTCTGCATTTTTTTCTTGGTTCCTTGTGTCCTTCCTTCTTTCTTTCCTTCTGCCTTTTCCTCCATGTCTCCCACCCCTCTGTCTCCCTTTGTAGATTCAGACACATCTCACTGTCCTCTTTACCCTGTTAAACCCACTCAAGCATCTTTCTAAATTTTCTTCCCCTCTCCAACTAAGCTGTCAGATCTGTCTTTCTTCACTTTGGCAGATTTTTTTCCCCCCCTTGCTCCGCCTATCTCTTCCCCTTGTAACTCTCCTTTCTCTGTCATGTCACTCTCTAAACTCCCACTCTGCTTCTGTTTTTCACTGCAGTAAGTGAAGGAGTTTTTCTCCTAAAAAAGGAGAGGATATCAAACATTTAGAAGCCGACTGATTGAGGAACATATGCAACTAAAAAGCCATACTCTGTACAAAATTTGGCCTACATTTTTCCACTGTATTTTAACAACGTGCCTATTCGCCTTACTCGGCTGATTTACTCTTCTCAAAGGTTTAAGGCTGATATGTATTGGAGATAATGTTGTAAATGTATCAATGAGAAGAATTTGCTTCTGATCAGATCTACAGAGGTGTAACATATGTATCGAAGCTCGCAGTATACAGGTATCTGTCGCATGTTCATCATAATTGGTTTCAGCAGCAAAAGTTTTTTTTTTGGTGTCTGAGCCAAATGAATGAGAGCACGTTTGACTGCATCGGTATTCTGATTGTGCATGTACACTTTAACCTCCTTTCCACTTGAACGTACAGTAACTTTTTAGGACTACTCGATTTACTGTGAAGGGAAAACTTAATGAAGTGACCAAATAATGTTTGGCACATTTCTGTACTGTTGTTAAATCCATACTAGTAAAGCATAGTGGTGTGTCTTCAACACTGCTGTACAGTGTGCTGTGAGCTTCCTCTGTATTTTTATCCCAAACATTTCCATCCTCTGTTCACAGTTTCACAGTCATATAAATGAATCCATCTTTTTTTTGTTGTTTTTATCTACAAGCCTGACCAAAAACTGAAAGAGAAAAACTTTTAAAAATATAATAGTTATCCTTCATATTTTGGATTGTATTTTAATGACTAAGGAGTTACAATTATTTTCATGACCACAGAGTGTCAGTGTTTCCCTGAACACAAGCGAGGCCAGTTCTTCATCGATGTCTGTTTACTTACATGTTACTCCTTCATGCTATTTTGGTGGCTGATTTAATTTCACATTCTTCAATGAAGGCCAGTGGTTTCGTCTGTTAGAGGATGATCCAGAATCAGGGCTCAGCTACAGATTAGTTATTCACTGCAACACCAATGACAGGCTGTGAATAATTTTGTCATGCTCCATACAAAGGTGCTGAAAGGATAATAAAAAGACAGATAGAAAATCTGAATCGAGGGTTCGGTAAATAAAAACCAACATGAGAGGCAGTGGGAGGAAAAAGAGACGTAATGGTGCAGAAGAAATACTGGAAAAAGGAAAAAAGGTGAAAGATTTAAAAAAAAATGATGGCAGAGGAGGCGACAGGAAGATAAATTGAGACAAGATAAGTGAGAGTAAAAAGAAATGAGAGAAGATTAGAAATAAAGAGGTGAGAGTAGATAGAAGGTGAGGTATGGGGGGAAAAAGGAGAAACTCTTGCGTGACTATTTATTCCATCTAAGCCTAATGTATGTGAATATTTTACACCTGGTTCTTTTTTACATTTTAATGAAAGCATAATGTTGTGCAGTGTGGACATAAAACTGACACGTGTGATGGGTTTTTATTTACATCAGTATTGTAATAATCTAACGGCACAACACACTGTATATTTCTGGGTTGTGCAGTCACTGAGGCCCTCAGTCATCATGGCTGCCTCTGCTGATGCAGGGTTTATGCAACAAACTAGAATTTATTTTTCCTTATACACAGAAACTATATAGGAAGAGGTTTGAGCTAGCTAACATACTTTGCTGTTAATATTACAAGACTTGCAGATTAGGAAGGTAAGGGAAAATCTTTTTAAATCCATAGAAAGTGATTTTTTTTATCATAACAGAGGAAAATGCTTTTTTTTCTTCTTTTTTTAATCAATTTAACTTTACCTGCATACATTTTACACATGCTCTTCCTCAACTTAAACATTATATCTTAAATCAGAATTTGCAGTGTTGCTAATATGTTTGGTTTGAGTCTCATGATGATGGGAAAGGAGGACAGGATTAAAAAACATGGCTAAACATTAGTAGTATTAATATCATAATAATATTGCAGATTCATGTGTTTCTAAAATTAGGCAGCCCTAATTTTCTCACTTAATTTTTTGCTACCTTGGTGTTGAAGTTAAATTAGCTTGCTTAAGTCCCTAATGTGTGCAGTGTGTGTAAATTAAGTGTAAAAGGCAAAATAACTATTCAGCAGCCATGGAGTATGAACAGTTCTGCTTTAACTCGTACCTTCTGCGCATGTGATTTTAAAAGCCGAACTAGGCGTTGCATATTTTCTCACTAAATATCCACGTTGCACAGTTACTAAGTTTTACATTAAGTAAATATTTCTAATTTTTTGAAGCATTGTTCTACAAAGCTGTGAGTCCAAGTTGCGTTTCCCTAAAGTAAAGTAAACCTTTGGGTTTTGCAACAGGCTTCCATTTGTGCAACAGCACTGTTGATAGTTTGTTTCTGTACATTTCTGGGTCTAGCTGTTTGGGAATTATCCTGCTGGACCAACAACCAGTTGATCCGCTGATCGGACTGACTAGCTGTTAACCTCCACTTCTCTGAGGACTAATTAGGCCTGTCACGATAAATGGTAAATCAATTAATGACACTGAATGAAAAAAGGCTCAGCTCCGGTGCTCTCCACTGACCCTCCCTTCCTCATTTCCTTAGTGTAATGTCCAACGCACACAACACGAGTTGTCAGCCGACTTTCAAAACCTGAGAGACACATTAGCCGACAGAAATTCTGGGTATAACGGTTCGATCGGGTTCGTCGTGCCGTGTGGTGTCCAGCCACATGGGCACAAAATAATGCCTACAAGTCCAGTTAACTAATTTTAAAACCAGGCATTAATCAATGCTTTACTAGAATCCACTTGTGATGCATGTGGCTAGAGTCAGCGTAAAGTCCTGACTGAATGAAAATCATAACCTTTTTATGTCACGTTAACGAAGAACAGCTGAAAACCTACCGGGTTTATCAACTGCAGTAGCAATTTGGCTCCAACTCCTCCCCTTGTCATTTCTATATTCTTTGCACGAAGTGTTGAATAAATATTAATATTGTTTCCACATATCATCTCCAATGTCCGCTGGACTTCAGGTTGCACCTTGTCAGCTGTTTGGGATTCCCCTCCGTAATTTCCCCTCAAAAAGCAGGAGGAGAATCCGTGCTTTCTGATTGGCTACCTGTCACATTCAGCTTTAAGCTCCCAGTCGGGGAAAACCCCTGATGTAGATCGGAGCTACGGTAACACACCATACACTGCAGAATGAT